CCCCAAAACCCCAAAACCCCGTAGTGTATTATTATTTTGAATAATTGCTAATCCATTGAAATATATTAATTAACATATAAAGTTAACAATTCTGTATAAATAGTCATTGAATCAATTAATATTATGAAAATTCTTTAGACTTTCTGGATCGTATGATGCAGGCAGCATGTGGGAGGAGTATTATTTATAGTTTGGAATTATACCGATAAGAGTAGGCTTTGGAACATTATGATTGTTGTTTGAACTGTTTTCACTTATATTATTATTATTCGACTCTGGGGTTTTTGTATTTGTCGATTCACTATTGTGTTCCTTCCCTTTACCCTCATTAACTTAATTTACAGTGTATTATTTCTCATAATCATCAATGATATTTAAGTTGCTTTAATAGGAATGATCTCTTTCAATTTATTTCATTTCTTCTGTCATAAGAGTCATTGATGAACTAAGCTTTATATTTTGTGGTTTAACAATTTCAAATATGCTTTATGTTTCAATTGAGGATCCGCACAAATCATTTCTCAATATTTCATCCTCAAGCTATTTTATACTATTATTAGAGGATAAAGTTAAGCAGTTTTCATTTATTTTAGCAAAATTGATGGAATTTTTTTCAACATGCTATGGGCTACTAAGTAAGTTGATATTTTCATTGTTATTGTGCAAACTAACAGTATTATTATTATAACTATTACTATTTTAACTGTCAAAAGGTATAGTATGCACGTCTAGATGAGTGTCATAATTCAATTCTCCAAATTATGCGGTAACTAAACTATGCTGTTTAGCAGAGCTCTCTAGCTCTTCAATTACCACGAATCGATTATTTGTCTGTTAGGAAAAAACGTTTTTATTATGATCAAGAGTTAATTGAAATGCATTATTGCTATGACCTTAATGTATAGGGATACTTGATTTTTTTGGTTCAATGGTAGACATAAACTTCTAAGGAGCTAAGGTACCTCTACGCTTAAGAGCTAATTAATTTCCTAAATTATTCTTGATTTATTGATGTTGTTGCTGCAATGTGGTGCTTAAGGTTGAACTATGATTATTTTTGTTTATAAGTGAAGTAAAACCTGTTTAAGTCTCTTGATTTTCATATTCCTCTTCTTTTATCTAAGATAAAACAGCGTAAGAACTTTAAAATTTAAGCTATAATGCTTTTCTATTTGGAGAAGGGCTATACTTTTACACAGGAAGAAGCTTATTATAGCTGGATTGAAAGATAATATTCTCTCCTTCCTCCTAAAGATCATCAGTATTTTGAGATCTAGGGCTAGACTAATCTTCATCTCCGCCGCTCATTACGCTTTCTAGAAAATTCACTACACTCTCATTTGGTTTTACATCATCAGTCATAAAAATTAGATTTTGAGGCGGTTTTATTCTATTTGTATTGATATATCATCCAGTAAAGTTTCCTATGCTTTAGTTTGAAGTCATTACAGTCATTTTTTTTCTATATTTCTTCATTTTCTTAGCTTGCTCTCTCTTAACATCCTCATTAAAGATTAATTCAATCAATTTATGGTTCTATTACTCAGTTTATTCATCATGATGCATGTATATTTCTCTCAAGAGAATATTTTTACTCCTAATGTCATCTGTTTCCTCTCTACTCGCGAGCAATAATTTATCTACTGCATATTCTCCAAATTTTCTATTAGGTGCTTTTGCTGGATTATCTTCTTCATACACGTAAGAATTAGAAATTGATTAGTCAACTTTAATACCATTTGTGTCTTCTTTGAATTCTTTTTTTCTTAGTCTGCGAAGAACTTTCATGATATTTCCCTTTTTTGACTACCAGAAAGGACAACCTAAGGCAACATGACCTTTCTTCTCACATATATAGCATTAGATGTGTAGAATATAATAATCTCCTTCTTCTATTAAAGCACTTCTAATTCTATGGTAAGATTACTAAAGTGTATTATTTAAATAAATTTTACAATAGCTGTGATGTAATCCTCAGCTATTCTCATAAAGTCTTTTTTGTCAATTACATAGCATTAGGTGTAATCTCTGGATTTGCTTGATAACATACGAGGATTACCTGTAAAAAAGCCTATTTCGCCAAATGAGTCACCTACTCTTAACTCAGACAAATAAGTATGGGTGGATTTATGCATCATCCCAACTTTTCCTTATACTATAGAATATAAGAACTAAGGTGAATCTCCTTCCTATAATATAAATAAATTATTATTATTTGATTTACAATGAAAATGTGGTCATCAAGTGCAAATGACATTCTCTAAAAATAGAAAGTCAATTCACTTAAAACATCAAGACCAAATGGTTCAAAAAATTTCATGCCTTGAAGAATTCTTCCATTCAAGTAAACAGTTATCTTTTCTCGAAGGCCTTCGTTTAGCATTGCCATTACATCCTTTTCATCAATTTTTATTTCTTTCTTTGACTCCCACATATACTCAAGGTATCTTCTTATTTTTATCCTCAATTGATTTGGAATTTACTAAGTTAGAAGAAATTTATTCACATAATTCATTTTCTCTCTATAATTAGCAGCCAGAATATTATATCTCGTAATGATTGTTCCAATAGAATTAATTGTAAAAGAGAACATTCCACTTGCTACTATCATAGCTAACATTGTATAGATACGCTCATTAGTAGATCTTGGTGTGATATCTCCATATCCAACAGTGACCATTGTAGTAAAGGCCCAATATAGAGATGTGATATATTATTCGAGGACATAAGCATCTTGCATATTAGCTCTTCTTATCCAAGTATCTGCACTATCATCTAGCGTTTATACACCTATCTACCAGTAAAAACAAGCAAGCCAATGCGAGATAAACATTATTTACATTCCAAGAAACAAGAATGTCGTCAGTAAATTCATGAAATCTGTAACTATATGTTCCTCTAACTATAATCATTAGTGTTAAATCTAAGATTTTTACCTTAAGCATGAATTTTTGCACTTTGAAAATTCTGAGAAGTTTCAGCATTCTGAGCATTCTAGCAATTTTAAACAACTTAAGCAGTCTAGGAGTTTTATAAACAGGACTGGCGGAGGTGCTGTTTTCTAACTCAACAAAACTAAGCTCCATTGCAAAAGATATTGCCCAAGTGTATGGAAAGCTAGCAATAACATCAATGAAAAACCTAAAATAATGAGTATGCTATTTATAGTTTAAATAAAGATATTTACCAAGATTTAATGTAATTTTGGATAATCTCTTTTCGTTGCATTGTCAGTACACCTTTTTAATATATTCCTGTATTAAAGTTCATTAGAACATCCATAATGAAGAATGCATCTTAAAACACATCAAAGTAAATAATCCATTCAGGTATTTCTACATCAAATGATATCTTAAAAGGCAGCATAATGCTTTGATAGAGTACAAACAAAAATGAAGTAATATCCCAGAAGGATTTAAAGGATGAATCAGGATATAAGACATTTTTACTTCTCTCAACGTTTAATTTATCATTCTAACTGAGCATATCATCTATCTCGGAGTCTGCTTCTTCCTAGTTATTTTCAATGTTTTCCAATTTTATTTCAGATCTTTTCCTCATAAATGCTGGGGAAATAGTTCCTTAGCGAGTTAAGAATTGCCTAGTGTTCAATTTTTTTAGATTCTCTGAATTTAGTTATGACGACTGGTGCTTTTATCGTATTTGCGTTGCTTAATGTTTCAATCTTTCTAAAATGGATAGATTTTAGCTTGGTGTTGTAGTATCCTAGAGTAGTTTTTTAAATATAAAAGCCTATCTTTTTTATTTATTATTCTATTCTCTCAGAGTAGTCGGGATCTACTATAGTCCTTTAAATTTTCTTAGATTTTTATTAGTGAGTTTCTTTTCAACCCTTCGTTTTCTTCTCATTTTTGAACTCTTATGTCCAACCATATTAACGATCCGTGGTGAAAGCGAAGGATTTCTAAAGTGATCTAAATATATCTTATTTTACTCTCTTTGCTTTTTATATTTATCTATATCGAAATCTCCAACATAACTTCTTCAAGCAACACCATCTCTATCAGTCATATCATTACTAATGCTGTCGCCATTTGACTCTTGAAAAAAATTTTATTTTTTCCTATCTATATTTGCTGGAGTTAAACTGTCAGGTGATTTATCCTCCTCAAAAAGGACAATTTTAAGCTCTTTCTAAGTGTTTTGGGCCTATATTCCCGATTATTATTTAGGAATTTCAGCGTTAACATTATCATGCGCAACACTCATTTTAAATGTCTTAATAATAAATTTTTCTAAACAGATGCGGAAATAATATTATTTATACCGAGAGTAGAAAATTCAGCTCAATGGGGTTTTGGGGTTTTGGGGTTTTGGGG